TGATTTGCATTTTTTATTATTTTATTCCTGCTATTCATTATTCCATTCAACGGTAAATAGTTAGTTTTTAATTTTTAAGATTCTAATAGAGCTTTTTAGCGCTTTTTATCTGTAAGTATGTCAATTTTATCGGTAGGGCCTCTGTATCCTGGTGTAAATTAATTAACAAATAAAGAAGCCTAAGCCGTGTATTACACTGTGATAAAACACGAAGGGCATCAAATGTCCATCGATATTATGATATAGGGACAAGGTGGCGAAAAACAATAAAACACGCTTTTTCTTTATTTTATACTCTGATAAAACATGAGTTTTTGACCAATCAGAGCGCGTGCAGGGTCATATTTATATTGTAAATAAACATATCAATCTACAGCTCCTTTCAGACTTATTCTGTGAGAACAAATCTGAAAGTTCAATTCCTTTCCCCAAGAGAGAGGCATTTCATATTCGAACCGATGAAAATATTCCATAGTGATGACTTAAAGTTACAGGAATCAGAGGAACTTCTCTAATTGCTTGTTCCTGGTTGTTTCGCGTGCGAGGAAAATTCCATATTTGGATGACAACCAAACATAGGGCTACGTTATCGGTATGTTGTGTACATTGTTTGATGATGTTTGTAGGCGGTGCTGAAATTGGGTTAACTATTGAGATAGTAAAAAAATATATATATATAACAGTGACTTAACTTAATCACTTGAAGTAACCGACAACTTTTTCTCTGGCCTCCGGATCCCGAAAGGCTGTCTTATTCTAAATCAGAAGCCATAGATTTCAGCTAGCTACATCACACGTGTTAGAGTGGCAGACCTCCATAAGAACGTATGGTTCCTTCAAACTAATTCCAAATTGCCCAGCTTTTAAACATGATATTTAAGGAGGGGAGAGGGAGTTTGGTATTGGGTGGTGGTGGTGGTGGGGGAGGGGGGTTGTTGTACAAAAATTGAATTTCTAGAGAGGGAGGGTTACCAAAGAGGGGAAGGTGTTAAATAGAAATAGAGCTTTTAAGATACCCTAATGTCGAACTCTTCCTTCCTCCTTCCATTATCCCTCCCTCTTAGAACATGACTTACCTGGGGCCCCGGGCCGGGGGCCCCGCCTTCGCCCCTCTCCCTACGCCCCGCAAAAACTGTCCCGAAACAAATGTAGGAATCGCCAATTCATAACACGAAAACTCGCTCGCACGTCCCCGGAAACTCCGACAATTTTAGTTTTGACCGTTGCACTCGCCCACGGAATAGACAAGTACACGTTTTCCATCAGCTGTTGTCATTATTGGTGACGATATTATTGACAAACTGGAAAAGGCGTGAATAGATTACGACTTCATTGAGTTTTGTAAGTCAAATTTTGTTAGTTTCT